GGTTTGTATGGGCATATATGTTTTACATGGATGTACATGTTATAATTATGTGTACAGTTTATATGCATAGGTATGTTTTATATGTATGTATTAGGTTTCTATGTGGACATGTATGTTTTGCATGGATGTATGTGTTATAATTATTTGTACGGTTTATATGCACAAATATGTTTTATGTGGATGTATGAGGTTTGTATGGACATATATGTTTTACATGGATGTACATGTTATAATTGTGTGTATGGTTTTTGTGCATATATATGGATGCATGTGGTTTGTATGGACATGTATGGGTTTTTTTTACATGGATGAACATGTTTTATAATTACGTGTGTGGTTTGCATATGTTCAATATGTTTAGTATGTGTGTTTTATGATAATGTGCATGGTTTATATGGACGTGTATTCATTTGGATGTGAGCAGTTTGTATGGACAATGCTGATTTTTTAACGAGACCCCAAGCGGGAGCCTGAACTCTGGTTTGGGTCACTGGAGGTGACACTGCTTGTCACCCACTCTGCTGCAGAGGTGACACTGGAAGGGATCAATGTTCAGGGGACGAGTCTCACTCCTAATTTTGGGCTCAGCTTCATCAGTGCTGCTGAGTCCCACAAGGCACCAYTGTGGCCTCGGGAGGCTTCGGGGACAGCTGAGCACGGGGGGACCCCGTCTCAATGGGGACAATCTCCCTCTCCCTGCAGTCACTCTCTTCATTTTTGCACAGGGGACAAGCTGTCCAAGAAGGATCCCAAGGAGGAGGGGATGGTGTTGATCCCCTCAGTTCCATGTGTATCCCAACGTGCTGAAGAACCCACGCAAGTCTTGGCATGAACAACCGCCCCGAGCTTCTGAGTAGGGAATGTGAGAGATGCTCACCTCTGGAGCTTTCTCCAGGACAGTTGCAGACTTTTTTTTTAATTGAAAAATTATTCAGAAATAACCCAAAAATTGCACCGTGTATTGAAGAGATGTGATTGGGTGCTGGCACCCTGCGAGGCTCCCAAAGTCTGTGTAAAGTGGGGGTTCCTGTTGAGGGGGAATGAGAGAGCAGAGGACGCGTCACAGAAGATCTCAAAAAGGAGGAAAGGTCCCTAAATCCTTTCCGCCGTCCCTCCCAGGGGCCCCGGGTGGTGCGGGCAGGGCCGAGCATCGCGCTGGTAAAAAGAAGCTTCCCCACGCAATTTCGTGAGGCCTTTGCAAATACAATCACCTGCACATTATCAGTGCCTCAAACCGAATATAGAGATGAAGTGCTAGTCTGCACCAGCCGGGAATCGAACCCGGGTCGCAAGAATGGGAATCTTGCATGATACCACTACACCACTGGTGCGSTGATGTCACCTCCCCCCGCGGGCCACCAAGGGCTCGGGCGTGGCCACCGAGTGGGCGAGTGGGTGTCACTGTCAGCTCCTCTATCGCCTCCCAGCCGCGGGGTCCCTCAGGGTGGGGGTCCCCTCCCTCCAGAAACTGAGCCCGAGCCGGGGCTGCTCGCAGCCCTTAATGCCATGCAGGAATGTCCCGATTCCCACAATGTTTAACCCCGGCCGGCGCGACAGCCGAGTCCTTCGGCTCAAGGATGCTGCGCCGGGATTGGGGGCACGCACAGCCCGCTGAGCGAAGGGTTCTGCGGGAGAGAGGGTCCGGACCCYGTGTCAGCCCTTCCTTTGCTCCTGCCTGAAGAAATGCTTCTGAAAAACAGAAATTTTACCAAAAAATTGGCAGTGAGTGGAAGAATTTGCCAAAAATGGGAGTGGCAAGTGAAATAGGAACCTCTTCTGTGAGGAAAGGCTTGGAGCAACCTGGTCTAATGGAAGCTGTCCCTGCCCTTGGCAGAGGGGTTGGAACAAGATGATCTTGAAGGTCCTTTTCAAACCCAAATATTCTGTGGTTCTACAGGTAAAAATTTTTAGGTCTCTACCAGACTCCCACGCTCAATAGGAGCAGTGGCACTGAGTGACATCCTGCCCCGGGCGCCCTGTGAAACGCAGTGACGCGTCCCCATCCGAACAGCATTCCCAGAGCCACCGCTCTCCCCCACACACAGGGAAGGACAGGCGGGAGCTGAGTTCGTGCGATCAGTCTGGGGGTGCTTCCTCCTGCAGAGCCTCTCGCAATCCCGTGGCGGTGTTTAGCCAACACCGGAGCCGTCATTCCCCACCCGCTGTTGCCCATAAACACCCCGAGTGCGTGGGTGCTCCCTGCCCTTCTCCCGGGCTGCTCTGGTGACACCAAGATGAGCAGGTTCAGGAGCAGCAGCAGGGCTGTCACAGGGCTGTGACGCCTCAGGTGCAGCCTTTTCTCGCACAGCCTGCACTGTGCCAGCACAGCACTCCCTGTTCCARGGGAACACAGGAACATCCTTCCAGGACTCTCCGTTTCCTCCCCCTCGGGTGCTGGAGGGCGGCTTTCCCCCACTCTTGAGCTCTGCRGGATTCCGACTCAATTCTACGATCCTGTGGAATTTGCTGAAGGGCTCCTGTGCCAGCAGACGCGCTCCCGAGGCTGCTGGGGCCATGCCAGGCTCAGGCAGCATCCAGCCCAGCTTTCCCAAAACAGGGACACGCAGCATCCCCATGCTGCTGGATCCATGGATGCTTTGAGCCAAACCCAGCTGCCCTGGGCTGGCTCAGCCACACAGATCCCCAGAGGTTGTGGCTCCCACCAGCACTGCTGCAAACAAGCCCCAGTGTTGTCCCTGTTGTGGTGACAAACCAGACCGAGAGCATCCGCGTGGTTTGGGACAAACATTCACGGGAATTTTGGGTGCCAGAGCTCAAACACAGCTGCGGCTGTGGGCACTGACCCAGCTGGCAGCGCTCAAAGCCACCACCCCAAGTGTCATCGCCAGGGTTTTGGCTCAGCTGAGCCCTCCTCCCTCTGCCCCCAAAGGTACTGGGAGCTGGTCCTTGTGCAGGAGACAGGGGACAGCACGGGCTGTCACCTCCATCACCTCTCTCCCAGCCTGGAGACACGAAGGCTGCCTGCTGCAGGAGACTCAGGATCTAATTTTAATTTCAGCAGAGCTTGGATAAGTACAGAAAAGACTTTGAGGACATTTCTGCCTCACGAAACCCACCAGCACCGAGCACATCTTTACCTGTCTAACCCTGATCCTGCTCCAAACAGCAGAGCCAATCCTTTCCCTTCCCAAGCACAGCATTCAGCCCGGATCCTGCCCAGCCCAGCTGGCTGGTGCCCACCCAAAGGGCTTGGGGAGGGASCCTTGTCCCATATTCTGTTCATTCAGGAGGTGAGTGAACCCCCTTTGTGTCTGGGGGCAATGACAGCATCCTGAGTGGCTGGGTGAGCACCAGGGATGCAACACGGCACAGGGACACTCAGGAGCTCGGGGACAGCCACCTTTCCTCCAGGCTGTGACCTGTGTGCCCCTCCGTGAGATGAGTCCATGCCAAGAGGCCATTCCCTCTGGGAAATCAGTTTTCAGGCTCAAAGAGACCGTCGTTGTCCTTGAGCAGAGCATCCGGCTCCTCCTGCAGCCCATAATAGAGGTCATCCTCCTCCCCAGCGCCTTTCCGAGGGGACCCGGGGCGCTCTGCCCCGGCCGGGGAGCTGCTCGGGGTGCGGCCGGAGCGGTCAGCAGTCCGGCTGTGTGGCGTGGGGCTGCCGGGCACGGAMCCCTCCAGCGATGGTGTGTCCATCTCCTCCAGCAGGGAGGCGAGCGGGGCATCGCCCGCGGCCGGCCGGGCGGGGCTGCGGGGACAGGGTTACAGCAGGCACGGCTGGGCAGGAGCTGCGGCTTCCCCCGGAGCTCTCCGGCAGCATCCCAGCGTCACCAGAGCCCCTGGTGGGTGCTGGAGCCCCCAGGAGGGCTCTACCCCATCCCTTTTTGGGGACACCTGCCTGCCCATGGGATGAAGCAGTGGCTGCCCTTGCATTTCCTGCATCCCGARGGGAAAGCAGTGCACCCATCCCAGCCACAGCTACATTTTTGGCAGGTGCCCAAGTCCTATGCCCCGAACCTGCACAGTTGGCCCCATCACCCTTTGGGACCTCCCAAACTTGGGTATCATATGTGGCGTCTGCTTTTGAGGGTCACATGCTGGACATCTCATTTCTATCAAARCCTGACCAGGAACTTTGGGKTTGTTCTTGTGAGRGATTCTGTTTATATGATAAAGTGARATAAAAGTAAAATACAAAAATKCAAACATCAAAATGCAAATTTCAGCCAAAGGCCACCTAAATTTCCTCCTGGGAAATCATTTGGTTCAGAGACTCCTTGTGGGTTGAGACACCATCCAGGGTCCAGAGGGCCAAGGGGGCTCAGTGAGAGAAGCAAAGACCCCTCTGCCCCTCTCCCTCTCCCTGCACTGGGGGTCTGCCCCCCCATTTTCACCCCACATCCCACCAGAGCCCTGCAGGCACTACATACCCGCTGCCTGCTGCTGTCTCCAGCCGAGGTGCCAGGTCATGGAGGGGGTCCCCAGCACCCCCCAGCTCCCGGTGGATCTCGGCTTTGGCCTGCACTGCTGACTGGGAGCAGCTGCGGGCTCTGGGCTGTGCCGAGGGTGGGAGTGGAGCTGAGCTGRCYGCCTGCCCCTGGATCTGCTCRTAGGATGGCAGGCTCTTCTCGTAGGTGCTGGTGRCCTCTTGGTTGGAGCAGGGGACAATCAGGCTGCAGGCAAAGGGTTAACGGGGTGCTGAGCAGGACCTGGAGCCCACAGAGCTGTAAGGTGCTCAGGCACAGGCACACAGGGCTCCATCACCTGAGGGAGCGGCTTTACAGGCCACCAAGGCCATATCACTGGCCACACCAGCAGCAGAGACAGGGGACATCTGCAGGAGCATCACTGGGTGCTCTGCATCCCCCAGCACCACCCCAGCTCAGCCCAACCTGATCCCTGCTCGGCCTTCTGGCTGCAATCGGTGCAGTTATCCCCAGTCCCAGACCCTGCCCTCAGGGCACACACGTGACCCCATTCTGGGACCCACCAGGTGTCCTTCTGCTGCAGCAGCATCATGGGTTTGTGGTCCAGGAACTGCTTGGCCTCGAGGTCCGCAGGGATGAACGTTATCTGGGGGGAGAAAAGAGGCAGGGCCCAGGGGCTGCACTGGGCATCACGGGGACCCTCATCCCTCCTTCATGGGACAGGGTCAGAGTGTCCCTTCAGCTGGGTTTGGGGTCTTTTCCCTCTGTATTTGGATGTCTTGCTCGGAATTTTTTTTTTTTTTTGAGGGAAATCAATAAGGGATGAATGAGTGCCTTTCATCCAGTGGAGTCACACAACCCCAAGCCCAGAGGGAGCCCCAAGGCCCACGTGGGAGGTCATTGGTCAGGGATGGCACCAGAGATGCCCCGTTCTTGAGCCTTAAGCTCAGCAGCAAAGCCACAGCTCCCTCCTCAGTGGGGCTTTGAGGGGAGCTGGTTTGTGCTTCACCCCAATCCCAGAGAAYACAGCTGCTTTCAGAGATCCCAGCTTACTCCCAGCTCTTCAGGTTGCTCCCCCCCATTTTGGAGGGCAGCCAGGTTGTTGACAGGCCATCCAGCAGTGCCCAGATCAGTCCTACAGACGCCCTTTCCTTGGAAAAATCCCTTTTCTGCCAGAGCGGTTTCCCAGGGCGGGGACGCGTGGCTGCCCTCCGTGCCCTCTGCCAAGGAGACTGGCAGGTGAGGGCTGGGGCTGCGACCCTCTGACCTCCGTGGCCACCAAAATCCCTTCTTGGAAGTCCTGGGAGCCTGCCAAGCCCCAGATCGCAAGGAAACGGCTGAATGGCAGAGAGGAACACAAGTTATTTCCTTGGGATTATTCCCTGCTGCCTGCCCGAAAGCAAAGCCCCAGGCTCAGGGGGTGAAGGAGAGCAGCCACATCCTGAAGGCACCAGCAGGACACAAATGTCCCCAAACCAATTCCCCCTCCCCCAGACTGCTGCAGCTGGCTCCCTCTGGGGAAACTGAGGCACAAACTGAGGCCATACACCCCAAAATCCAGCTGAGCCCCGCAAAGCGCTCTGCAGCGGGAAAGATCCTACCTTGGGATAGCACTGGCACATGCTCCAGGTGATGCCCACGGCCACGAGCAGCACGCCCAGGACGCAGAAGGTGATGTAGATGTGCGGCTTCTCCACGCTCATGATGAACATGCCCGTCATGACCAGGAAGAAGCCCAGCATGATGAAGCCGTAGCGGAAAGTTTTCTCCTCTGCCATGGGCTCCGGGAGGAGATCCGCGGTTCTCCTGCGGCTGCCGCCCKCCGAGCGCACCGGCAGGGGAGGGAGAGCGGTGCTTCCTCTCTCCGGACCCTGCCAGGAGCTGAGGATCGGCTGCACGTCGAGCTGGTCCTGCCCAGGGCTGAGCCAGCCAGTTTTTAATGGGTTTGTAATGAATGCAAACACTGCCCCGCCGTTCACACTCCAGTGGAGCCGCCCGCACGTGTCCGGGTAACCTTCCCTGCGGGCACACGCAGCCCGACCCCACAGCTGGGGAAGGGACAGAGACAGAGGGGACACGGCTGCGGGGATGGGGACCCGGAAACCAGCTGCTCCTGTGGGGATTTTCCCTGCCCCGGGCACTGGAGCTGGACTTGGGCATGAATCGGAGCTGGCAGAGCCCCAGATAAGGGGGATGGCAGGGCCCAGCGTGTTCTCAAGGGCTGCAGGGCTGCAATGGGATAAGAGGGAGTGCTCTGGGTCTTTTTGGAGGCCACTGKGTTTGGAACAGAGCCTGCCTAGTGCTGGCTGAGTGTTAAGGCTGCTTCATTGGGCAGCAGGTGGGATGTGAAGGGGGGACTAAAGCCAGGAAAGGATGGAGCAGGGTGGATACATCCAGGAGCAGTGAGGACAGAGTATCCCTGTGCCCTGTGTTCACTTCACTTGGAGCTGGGGTGTTAAAAGGTGTCTCCTTCCCACCACACATCTGACAGCCAGACAGCGTTTGTTTAATTCCCTCGATTTATTCCCTCATTTTATTCCCTTGATACACCTGGCTTATGAGAAATAATTACATTATAAACAATATGTTAGACGTGGCTGTGGCTCTTCAGGCAGCCCATTGTGTCAGTGGGATGGAGAGAAGTATTTGAATTGGCAGCAGACCCTGCCACAGCTCTGRGCAAGGCTGCACACCCATCCGTGGAGGGCAGGGAGGGAGGGGCTGCACCGCTCGGGATGGCTTTTGTGGGAAACTGCCCGAAATGCCGAGCGCACTTGGCTGCTGTGCCCACACACACGAGCCACTGAGCATCTCCACACGGAAGGAAATGAGGCGTGGGAAGTGCAGGGCAGCAAGGTGGAAGGGATGGGAATGGGGCTGGAAGGGATGGGGATAGGGCTGGGGATGGAAGAGATGGGGATGGGGATGGAAGAGATGGGTGTGGGGCTGGAAGAGATGGGAATGGGGCTGGAAAGGATGGGGATGGGGATGGGGATGGGGATGGGGATGGGGATGGAAAGGGTGGGGCTGGAAGGGATGCAAATGGGGCTGGAAGGGATGCAAATGGGGATGGAAGGGATGCAAATGGGGATGGAAGGGATGAAAATGGGGATGGAAGGGATGAAAATGGGGCTGGAAGGGATGGGGATGGGACTGGAAGGGATGGGGATGGGGCTGGAAGGGATGGGAATGGATATGGGGCTAGAAGGGATGGGGATGGGGCTGGAAGGGTCACTGCAAAGGCTGAGGAGCGGACGGGGCATCGCGGAGCCGGCATTTCTCTGGTCGCATCCCTCGGCCTTTACTGCAGCTTTTCTCACTGAGTGCGCAGCCCTGGCCTGGGGGTCGGAGCAGGGAATGCAAAGCCTCTGAACTCAGCAGTGGTTTTATTAAAAATAAGAAAGCTTTCCAACATGCCGGTTACCCCCGACGCTCTGAGCGCAATCACCTGCGGGACCCACGATCCCAACAGCGCCAGACCCACGGCTCGGAAAGCCGGCAAAGCCAGGCTGACCCTTCCCGCTGCTCCTCGCCCACCCCCGCACTGGAACAGGCTCAGTTTAAAGCCGAGGGAGCGGGCAGGCACGCACAGAGTCCCGGGATGCCCAGCTCACACCCCTCGCACGCTGATGTTCTCGTAGCTCGGGGGAGGCGTCGCCTGCGGCTCCTCGGGGTGCGGCGAGTCCAGCCAGGACGGGCTGGGGCGGAACAAAGCGCTGTCGGAGGAGCTGCGCCGCCGGCCGCCCTGCCAGCTCTCGTCCTCCTCCAGGTAGCGGTACAGGGGCGGCGTCAGCTCCTCCTTCCTCCCGGGAGGATGCACGTAGGCCGGGGCGCCGTGGGCGGGTCTGCAGGTCAGCGCTTCTTCGTAGGTGGGGATGGCGCTGGCRTCCCAGCTGCTGMCAGGGAGCGGGAAGAAACCCAGAATTGCACACGGTCAGCATTCCAGAACCCACTGGAGGATCCCAACGCCCAATTGGAGCATCCCAGTGTCCAACTGGAGCATCCCAGCACCCACTGGAGCATCCCAGAACACACTGGAGGATCCCAGCGCCCAACTGGAGCATCCTAGTGTCCAACTGGAGCATCCCAGCACCCTCTGGAGCATCCCAGAACACACTGGAGCATCCCAGAACCCTCTGGAGCATCCCAGCACCCACTGGAGCATCCCAGCACTCAACTGGAGCATCCCAGCACCCATCAACAAGAACATTCCAGTGCCCCATCAACAGGAACATCCCCACACCCCATCAACCCCATTGTCTGGAGCATCCCTGAGCATGGTTAGCACACGTGCCAGGGATGGCATGTGGGCAGGTTTTGCACATTCAGGGTCAAGAGGTGACCATATCAGGTCAGGGTGGGTGGGAAGCCACCCATGAGGTCTTACAAGAGGGTCCCACAGGCAGAAGAGCATCCTCATCATGCCCAACCCCTAATTCACTCCCCGAAAAACAGAGACTGCCAACAGCTGAGGGGGCAGTTTGGCTCAAGGACTCAGGCCATCACCAGGCACCCCGGGTCACTGTGGTCACACCCCGCTCTCAAGCCAGCCAGAGCCCTCCCTGCACTGGCCAAGCCTGGTGCCACTTCCAGCAGTGCTTTGCTCAACAAACGAGGCTTGTGGACAGGGAAAACCTCCAGAAAAAACCTTTGCCTTGTGCATGGCACCCCATGGAATGGTGCAGTCCCAAATCAACTCCTCATTGCAGCTGAAACCCAGCCCAGTGTGCTGGGGAGGCTGCAGGCATTGGAGGGCACAGCTGGTCCAAAGGAAAAGCTCCACAGGGATGTCTCAATCCTGAATTTGGCAGATCTCTGTCCCAGACAGCTCAGGGCCTCTGTGMCAGGGATTGTGCCAAACAGCCTCAGCTTGCACAGGAATGCTGCCCTGGAAATGCGGASAGGGGGATTTATCCCAGCACRGGATGCTTTGCTGAGGCTGGAGGAGCTGCTGCAGCACCAGCAGTGCCAGGGTGCTGATCCCACCCAGCACGGGATTTGGGAGCTCAGGGAAGGGGACATTCCCCACGGGGGCACAGCAAAATCCCTTCCTGGGACAAGGAACCTCCCCCTGGAGAGCCAGACTGGCTCACGAGCTCGCAGAAATCCAGATGGGCACCGAAATCCCTGGAGAACCAGGAATGTGCCTCCCCTCTGAGTTTTTATGGTTTGTTGTTAAGAGTTTCTTTTAGTGCTGCTTTTCCCCAGAGCCCGATTTATGCCTGAGCCAAGATCTTTGCTGTGACCCCATAAAGAAGCACTGGGAAGGGCTGGCTGGCTCTGCTTCCACAGCAGCCTCTGTGAAAAAAAAAAAAAAAATCCATCTCGATCAAAAAGCTTTTAAATCAAGAAGTGGAAATAAATCTCAGGCTCATGGTGGAAGACTGTGGGGACCCAAAAAGCAGCAGTGCTGTTCAGAGCGGGGCAAGGAATCTTTCTATACCTCAAAATGGGCTTTGTAAAGGACCCTCTGCCTACATTGCTGTCTTGATGCCGTTCCAAAAATTATTTTCCGTATTTTTTTCATCTAACTCTCATTTAACAAAGAATTTGCTTCCATTTCAAACGTTACAAACACCCTTATCCTTACAGATCACTACAGGCCTGGGAGACCAGGGCAGGATTCAACAGCTGGAGCTCTGGGTGACCCTTCCCCACCCCCACATTCCAACCTCCTGCCAGAAAACCAATGTTTTCTTCTGCTTGGTGGCTCTGCTGAGGAGATGTCTCCATCGGCACGTGATGGCCCTGCAGGGCAAGGAGAGCTGGACGCAGTGTGGGCACAGAGAGGGCGGGCAGGGGTTGACATTAATGAGCAGAAACATCTGCCTGGTGAGCGGGAGGGGAGCACAGAGCACGATCTGAGTGCTGAGGATGCTGTGAGTTTGCAGCCAGCAAGGTTGGGAGCAGGCTGAGACTCAGAGACAACCAAACCCCCCCTCCACCCACCCAAACAGCACAGGGACGCGGCTCCCACCTGCAATTCCACTTCTCCGGAGGCTCCGCCGTGAAGTACTGCAGATCCCTGGGGAAATGGTACTGGTAGCGCCGGGACACCACCCTGGCGTTGGCTTTGACCGACCAGAGCAGCCCGAAGATGAGGAGGATGCCGCCGATACCGCAGCAGAAGAAGCTGACGGAGCGGAGCAGGGCGCTGGAGGAGGAGGAGGAGGAGCTGGGCACAGCCTCGGCTTCCCGGGGAGGAAGGAGGCGAGCACTGCCCGAGCCCACCTCGCCATCGCTCCACCAGGCAAAACACAGCGTCCCCGTCACCAGCAGCACGGCGCCCGTGATGGTCATGCCGTAGCGGAAAGASGAGGCTGCCATCCTTCTCAAGGGGGTTTCAGGAGGGGAGAAGAGTGAGACAAGGCATGAGAGAGCCCAGGTGCTGCAAGACAAGAAGTGGGGATGGGTTTGAGAGGGAGAAGGTTGTGGAAGAACCGTCAGAGGAGGAGATGGCCTCGCTGCGGGTTGCAGCCTCTTCAGCCGTCATTATTGACCACCAGAAAGGGCATTTCCACCATCTCAGATGGGAAACACTCAGGAAGARCAAAGTCAGCACCAGGTTGGACCCATAAACTTCCCAACAATCTGCAAAAACATCCTAATTTTCAGTGAACAGCACAGCACTCCCACAAAGGCAGGGTGGACAAGCTCCAGGCACTTTCATAGCTCTTCTCTTTGGGTTTTATTCCAGCCTTCCTCCCAATCTTGGAGGAATGCCAGCTGGGTTTCCTGGGTTGTCACAGCATGGCTTATGGAAGAGGTCAGAGAGAGGGACATAAATTCAAAATGTCATCACTTTGAATTACCAGTGTGACTGTTTTCTCCTCCAGAACTGATGACATTGGAAAAATCTGCTYAATCTTCATCCACATGAGGTTTGGCACACAAAACCTTCCTCCCCTGGATCAGCTCCAGCGCAAACCYTCTCAAGTTCCTGTCAAGATCGATCCCGCAGGTGCTATCAGCACCTTCACCCTCCCTATCAGGGTGGTTTAGAGTTGGTTTGACAACCAAACACGTGAGGTAGTGCCACATGTTTCTGCTGGGTGGCTCTTCTCAGCTAAATGTCACAAGCAGAGAGCAAACATGCTCCAGTTTCCCTGGTGCTGGAAATCTTGGGGAGGGGGAGCTGCTTTCTGACCTCAGTCCCCACCGCTTTCTCCAGCAAACAGCAAGCATCTTCTCCCTCAGCTTGTGCATCCCATCTCCCAAAAAAATCAACTAATAAGGGGGCAGAGATGTCTCACAACATCCCCCCTAGCCCTGCTCACTGCCCAGCAAGAAGATGCAGGTTCAGTTCCCACTTCTCAATGGACAAAAAGCTTAAAACCATGTGGGAATTAAGCACCAGCACCCCCAGGCAGACTCAGTCCTGGGTGATTGCTGTGAGGGTTATTTGTGGTGCCACTGCCAGTGGAGAGCCTGCACATGGGGGATGGCCAGGACAGAGGAGAAGCTCAAGCTGAGGTGGGTGGACAGAAGGATGACCCACACTCAGCTGTGACCCCTGCCTTCAGCACTCTGTCAGCAATCTCAGTAACCAGAAAATAATGTGGTGGCTTTGGTCTCTGTCCCTCCAGGCAGGGCTCATCTCCTGCAGAGGGGTCTTAAATTGTACCCTGAGATCTGGAAGTGCTGAGCCAGAGCTAGGCAGGGAGCAGAAGTCCAGCATGGACCTGGTGTCATCAAGGTCAGACAGAATTATGTTATTTCAAACCATTTTTTTATCAGATGGGCCCACTAAATGGAAAGCCAAATTACCCTGTAATGAAAGAAACACGATCTGATCTAATCGACATTTAATGAAGGAAACTGATGAGAAGTGGGATTTAGGAAAACTGCAGGACTGGGAGCCCCAACAGCTCACTCCAGCAAGGTCACAAGCCCGAATTCCTGCCCAGGCTGGCAGTGGTCAGTGGTCACCAGCTGTGGTCACCAGCTGGGACAGAGATCGTGTTCCCAGGCTTAGAGAAGGYAGAGCTTCTCTCCGTTATGGGGGCAGGTTTGGATGGTCCCTTCTCAATGGAATGGCAGAGGCTTGGCTGAGCTGAGGTGGAGAAGGGACTGTTAGGGATGGTATTTGATGTTATCAGGGATCAGCATCTCCCAAAACCATCACAGGACACGACAGGAGAGCTGGACTCAGGCTGCCTTGCAGCAGGAGATTCTCAGGAGAGCACAAGGACCCCACTGATGTGTGAATGCAGCTTCTTTGGAGAACAGCACAATTTCACCAAAAAAAAAAATCAACCAATATTGTTTAGAGAAGAAAACATCACCCCAAAAAACCCTACAGCAAAGCTTTCAGTCCAACAGCATGGAAATGTCAGGTCACTCCAAACTGAAAGCCTGGACTGAACCAGCACCARGAGCTGAAATGTTCAGCTCCTGCAGCCAGCACTCTCCTCATTCTGGGGTCAGACTGGTGRGGTTTGGGAGATGCTCTGAATTCCCTGACGGGATTTAGGAGACGCTGTGATTCCGCTGCCTGGGCAGGGGGAATTTTGCAGGCTCCAGCACTGCGCACATCTGGGAGCGCTGGCAATGAGGGGGAGGCAGAGAGAGAAGGTGGAGAAGCCTCTGGGAGGTGACGGATTGACAGCTCGAGAGAATAAACTCTTCTCTCTCGACAAAAGCAGCGCAGCGCAGGGAGCGCGGCTGAGAGCTCCCCCAGGTCCCCGCACGTGTTCCCGCAGCGCCTGTGCGGGGGCAGCTCCGCCGCGCTGGGTGGCACTGCCACCGCTGGGTGACATTGCCACCGCTGGGTGACATTGCCACCSCGCCGTCCCCTTGCCAAGCCCGCTCTCGGGCTGCCGCAGCCCTCCGGAGCCTCTCTAAAAGACCCGCGGTGTTTTCTCAGCGCACCAAGCGCTGGAGGAAGAGTCTGAAGGAGCGAGGTGCGAGGCTGGGGCAGGACCCGCTGCTCCCGAAGCTTCTCCCGACTCCACTCCCCGGGCACTCAGCACAGCAGATCTCCCTCCCAATGAGCATTTCCAGCACAACTTTTCACGGAGGGGCTGCCCGTCTGACCACGGCAATTGCGGGCTCCCAAACACCCTTCTCCACGCTCCCGGAGCCACCCTGACATTTTGTTCTTCCCCGTCTCCTCCTTTGACCGGCTCTGACATAGTTTTCCAGGGAATAGATCTGCACGTTTCATGTACAAACAGATAAGAATGTTGATAGTTTACATAGTTCCAGTGAAATGCTGAGAATAGCTGCCCCCATATAAAGTTATGCAGATGGTGATTCATAGGGTCTACTAAGCATTACTCAGAAAAACGCTCTTTTCAAGCAACACGAGAAAAGAAAAGAGTTTTGAACCTCTCCCACCGCCATCAAGCAGAAATCCACCTCCACACCCGTCCCTCCACGGCACTTACAGACCGTCCTTCCRTGCGGGGCTGGAGACCTTTAACCACAGAAGAAGAACTCCGTGGAGAGATGCACCAAAGCGTGAGCATGTCTTTAGGGAGATCCCTTCCTGCCTTTATCCGAATTTGCTATTTTGTTGTGTTACTTATCAGCGCGGGTTTGGTCCCCATTCAAAGCAGAGTTAATTGTGATGCTTTGGAAGCGCATCCCAGAACTCCGGGGCGCTCAGCCTCCCGTTCGGACAGAGGARGGCACGTGTCTGCCCCAGCCAGGTTTGGGGCGATGCCGGAGCCCCAGGTCCCCTCTAGGGAGGTGGCAGTCCCCGGTGGGGGTCATTCCCGCTGCGCAGCCCCCATCCCGCCCGGCACAGCACCCAGCCGGGGGATGCCCGTGTCCCCCCGCCGCCCCGGCCCCGCCGCGTACTCACCGCCGCCGGCAGCCCCGTTCCGGCCGAGCGGCGGCTCCGCCGAGCCCGCGGGGCGGGCGGGGCCGGGGGCGGGCGGGGGGCGGCTCGGGGCGGGCAGGGACCGGCGCTCCCTCCCGGCACGGCACGGCACGGCACGGCACAGCCCGGCGGGCGGGCGGCTCCCGGCTCCCGTTCCGTCCCGTCGGGGCGCGGCGCTCCCGGCGGTTCGGGATGCAGAGCCCGTGATGTTCCCCTGCGGCTGGGACAGCCCTGCTCTGGGGACAGCGCTGCTGTCCTTTGTGTGGCACACCAGGATCTCTGCCCAGSCTCGCTTGGTGCTCCTCACCTCTCTGTCAGAGGCTGATATTGTCCTTTTCCCTCGTTTGTGGACTCCTAGGGAGGTTTGGGTTTGGAGGGACCTCTTAAAGGCCACATAATCCAACCCCCCCTGCAGCCAGCAAGGACATCTTTGACGAGATCAGGCTGCTCAGAGCCCCATCAAACATGGCCTTGAATGTTTCCGGAAATGGGGCATCCACCACCTCTCTGGGTAACCCGTGCCAGTGTTTCATCAACCCCATTGTAAAAAAAAAAAACCAAAAAACTTCTTCATAGCTAATCTAAGTCAACCCTCCTTTATTTTAAAACCATTACCCTGCAGCACTCAGGATAGCTGGGTATTAAACAGGCTGAAGGTGCTCTGATCTGAGTTTCAGAATGGTCAGCACGGCATCATGTGGATTCAGGCACAATGCCTCACCAGAGAGCTGGAGAAATATTTGATCGAGAGCTGCTGTACCGTGCTGTGCTGTGCATCTCAGAGATACACAGACCCATCACGCTGCTCTTGGGCTACAGCTGAGCATCCCTGGCAGGCAGAACCATTTCTGTGCAYACCCTGAGCTGCTGCTCCTGCACTGCTTGGAGCTCCTCACCTCAAAACCAGCTCAGGCTTTACCTGCACAGGCTACAGGGGCTGATGCAAAGCCCCGCTGTGGAATTCATATCTGAATTAGAAGCCACTCAGCCCAGCTGAGTATGTGTGGGTGTACAGCAGGCACTGTGGAGTTTCACAAATGGCAAACTGAGGCACACAGAGGGTTGGCTCACACAGGCCTGGCCCTGCAGCAGGTCGGGTCTCCATCACAGAGGAGCACGGGGCAGAAGTCCCCAAGGCCACCACCCAACGATGTGGGCACTGTGAATCACCTGTTACCTCTGTTGAAGGACAGTGAGGCACCTTCTGTTCATTACCTGCTCAGATATTGTATTTAACTGAAATTTGATTGTCAAACAGAATCTGAAGCTCTTCAAGGTGGTGTTAGTGCATGACTCCATGCTATTCCCAGCACAGGCCTGCAGAGTGAGATGGCTTTGGGGCAACACACTGCTCCTCCAGCCCCACAACCTTCCCCAGAGGTCTGGCCTACAGGCAGCCACAAACCCATGACAAATATTCCACCAAAAGACAGAGGCTGGAAGTGCTGAGTGGTACCAGCACCTCTGTCTGCTTAGCAGCACCTTGGCCAAACTGCATTTTCCCTCTTGAAGAACTTTCCTGCTGGTGGACAAGGCACAGGGAAAGGGCTTCTCCAGAATAAAGACAAAATTTCTGTGCAAAGTATGTAAAACATCCCATGTACRRTGAAACTGCAGTGGAGAAAACAAGGGGATATAAAAGACAGTTACAGCCCCTGCAAGAACAAGAACAAAGGAAGAGCGGGGAAAGAGATTGTTCCAGTAATTGCCTCCCCCAGGTAAGGATGCTGAGCCTGAGCAATGCTGCTGGCACAAAAAAAGGGCTGCTTTTTGATTCACTGTTCACCTAATTTTGCTGCTGCAGCAAATCACATGTAAAATAATGCATTTGACTGCATAATCAAGGTAAATAAGTCAGCTTTTCCAATAGGGGTGTGTGTGTGTGTGTGCATGCACTCTTTGCCCTGTCACGACAGAATGGGTGATACCAAGAGCACCAAACCAAGAATGGATTTGGGTGCACCAAGTCCAGAGAAGGAGAGCCAAGGCTTCCTGCTGGAATCCTTACACATGGGACCTGGGCCAGGTCATTGTTGTCCATCAGTGATTTGGCACACAGGCCACTCACCCCATGCCCGGCTGCCCACAGCAAGCACCTCTGGTCATGCTCTCCGTGACAGAGCCACTAAAGAGCCACTGATGTGGCTTTAGGGGTCACATCTCTGCAGGCATGAGGTGTCCATGTCATCCAGATCCATCGAGAAGCCATTCCCAGGGGCTGGCACATCTCAGGTTTCCCTTTGCATGGGCACATCAGGAGTGGCTGATAAGGGGCTGCAGCACGCAGCCAKGAGGATGTGCAGATGGGAAAGAGTTCCTGCATCCAACACGTGTAAAGCAAACAGCTCCTGCTGTTTATCTTTGCCTTAATTTGCATCTTCTTAAAATGCCTGATTAGTTGTGCTAGTTGATATACTGGCTCCGGCACTCCTGATTAATCCAGTCAGCAAACCCGGGAGTTGAAAATATTTATCCTACATCTTCAGGTGATGCAACATTCACCAGCGTCCTTCAGCTTGTTTGGGGTTGAACCTGCAGCTGGACTCGGATCTGTCTGTGGTGCTGCTGCTGCACAGGCAGCTGGGGCTTTGGGATCACTCCTTTGTGCTCTCCAGCAGGAAAGACCAAGCCTTTGGATGTGAARGGGGATCTTCTCCCTGACCACAAARYATRTGTGTTTTTTTCTGTTYACCTACAAGTATTCCTACAGACAGCTGTGTTTTTGCCCTGATACTTTACTGACTGCAGAAACCCTTTCTGTACAATATGTACTTTGTAAAGTATCTTATTATTTAGTTCCCATGGCTTTTGCTGAGTTTGAATTATAACAGAAGAGCAAGGTGTGCATAAAGTTGTTTAATATCCATTTCTGAAGTGGTTTCTGCACGAGCTATGTCCATCATCTAGCAAGGCACTGGACCCAAAACCTCTGAGTGTTTCAAAGCTTAAATATTTGCTTATTCAACTGTAATGATGTCCCAGCAGCCTGTAAAGCTGCACCACACTGGGGAACACAACTGTGGTGKAAAGTCTTGGGAAGGGACTTGGAAAGCACTGATAGCATCATCCACAGAGGGCTTTATGGACAAGCAATGCTCTCAAATTCCTTCAGMTCTTCATTTGGGTTTTGTATTCGTACAGGAGCACCTGAGTGAGGTGCCAACTCCTATTGAGACTGTTGTGTGGGTAAATGGGTATGATAAAACTTCGGGGTTTGGGTAAGGGAAATCTCTGTGTTGCAGATGAGGACAGAAAGAACTTCCTAGGAGCTTTCTAACAAAATCTGCAAAGGATTTGAAATTCACCTAACAAGGGATGGAGGAAGCAAAGAGTTAAATCCTTWTGCTTCAGCTCAGTTTTTAGTCAGACAAAACTTTTCCTGAGCTCCTGGAGATTTTTGCCTTAGGGAAGCCCCATGTCTGAGCTTCTTTCTCCATGAAGAGCCACCACAGTTGTGTTACACGTGGGTAACCCACCACACAGCGTGTTTAACATGCCACAGCTGCTGCAGCTCTGCTGGAGTGTGAGCTGCAGTGAGGAAACATCCATTTCCAGCCCTGTGGGCTCCTCAGTCAAGCTGGATGCCAGTCACAAGTGCATCTATCACACCCGAGCAAAGAGAGCTTTGGAAGACCTGCCCTGGCTGCTGAAACACGGCAGCAGTTTGCTTCATTCCACACGTCCAATATCTGAGCTTGAAGCTCCTGTGTATCTTTGATTCCAAATGCTGATGTTGCAAGAAGTAGCAGGCACTTTGATTAAACACAGAACTGGATAAATTTGCTTCCCAGTGAGCTCAACATTAGATGTGAGTTGAACTACATCTATGCTGACATCCCCAAGCTTATCCATGCCCCTGCTGYATGCAGCTGTTACAGAGCTCTCCAGGGAGCAGGGAATGGGCTGGGCTTTGTTTATTTTTCAGCACAAAAATGCGAAAGAGAAGCTCAAAGCTGCAATAATTACAATTTTTAGAAAAAAGGGTGGAGCAGCCAGCCAACCCTTCTGGCTACTACCATGTGTGGAGCCACAAAGAAGCCCTGGGTGTCCAACACAGGTTGTTCCACAGCTGGTTTCCTTTCCAAAGCCCCTGAATTATCCCACTGCCTGCCCTGGCATCACGCTGCCCACAAACATTTGTTCACATCAATGTGCTGTGCTGGGAGATGCCTGGGGGATATCATGCTGCCAGCAAACCTTGCAAACATCTCACTGGAAGCCTGACAGCCTGGGGAGAGACACGAGGAATGGCTGAGAGAAGGAGTGTTGTCAATGAGTGCTTCAAGGTTTCTTAAAGAATCACCAGCAAAGGTATCAGCAAAAACAGATTTAATATAAAAGAGACAGCACAACAAAGCTCGTCARCGAGGTTCACTCTATTACTTACTAGATGGTTAATGCACACAAGAGAAAAGGCAAACAAAAAACCCAGTGTCAATCAATCCAAACCAAAATAAACCCAAAATTATCTATGTGAAGGCTGGGCAGGGGTGGGGGAAACAAAAGGATAAGAGRAGGTAAGGATAAAAATGAGTACATCCTAAAGGCACAACAGTACTTCAATAAACAGCATCTAAACTCCACAGCACTTAACCATAACAGATTTAACTTATCAGTTAAACAACACAGCAAAGGATTCATATAGAATTTACTACACCACAACAGGAACTTACAGGCCAAACTTACTTACAAACCTGAAGTACTAAAGAACCAGAAGAGCAGCACTCCTGGTATATTTGAGGCAGAAYATGCACACTCGCATGCACACAGGCATAAAGAGTCTGTACCAAGTATTGTAAGAAATTCCCCTTGAATTCAGTTAAATACTCACCCAGGGTGCCTTTGCTGCCCTGCTGTGCCCAAAGCCTGGCTGCTCTCTTCAAAGCTCATCTGCAATGTTGGCTCCTGACCCAGGGAGAGCTCTGTGATTTCTGCCTGCACCCCTTGCCTTGCTTTAACCCAGAACATTTACGTCTTCTTACACAGGTTTCTAGGTAACTGGAGACAATTTTGAAACTCTGCAAGAAATGACAGGAGTTGAGTTTGGGAAATAACGGGCTGCAACTTCTCTGCAATGGCATTAAAAGAGTCAGAGCCAGGCTGTCAGAGGATATCAACACTCATCTCCAGTGCCACGGCTTCCTCAGTGGGGAATTTGGCTCAACCTCTGGTTAGATCTATGAGGCTCTGAGGAGACCCCACTGCTGATGTTCTCCTAATTTCTGCCTGAAAGAAACAGCAGCAGCAGATTTCTCCTGTGGAGGTGTAGGAGCAGGTTGCTCCCATCTCTTCCCTCGATCTCTCAGAGGAAAACAGACTCTGTGCTGACTTGGAAGAAAGAGGAGGATGTGACTGTGAGTAACAGGCATTTACAGAGATGCTTGTGAAGAAACAGCTGGAAGATATTGCCTGCCCTAGTTACCTTCAGATGAAAAGAAAGGTCTCCATCCACCTTTTCWGATGACACATCAGCACCTCAGACTGTGACAGGACCTCACAGAAAGCGCCCATAAATGAMATCCCTGAGACACAGAACTGACAGGCTGATGGAGAATGTAGGCTTCCCTGCTCAACCTGCCTGGGGAGCCACCAAGCATCCAGAGAGTTAATCTTTCTCCCCAAAATCTATCTTGTCCTTTCCTTTGGCTAGTCATCTTATTTAGAAAAGGTGTAGTTTTGTTTCCCTGACACTTCTCCTGTGCCAGAGAAGTGCCAGCTCTTGTTGGCAGGCACTGCCTCGCAGAGGGATGAAATTCTCCTGCCCTGTGATTCACTCTGCCAGTTCCAGCATGAGGGAGAATTCATCCCAGCCCTATAATCTGCATTAGTCTCGATGTAAGCGGACACCTCAGTGCAATAAAAGTTCAGAGCTTATTACAGGCTTTGGGCTGATACCAGAGATAATGGTAATTAACYGCTCTGGGATGACAGTGGTTTATTGCTGGCTGATCTCTCAATGCTTTCCTTAAGCATTCTGTAAAAAAAAAAAAAAATGGGCTTTGCCAAGGATGGAGAGGCCAGGAGGAGACAGAGAGCAGTTGTGTGAGTCTCTGGCCCAGCACATGAGGCTTGGAGGGGCACCTGGAGTTTAACATGAGCTGGGGGCAGGATCAGTGCATTTATCCACTCTCAGGTTTATTTGTGAGTTACAGGGTTTCTGTGGGTGGGTATTTAAAGGCCACTGTACCCCATGGACACAGTGCTGCAGCAATCATATTCTGATGCTTACTGGACGTACAAAAAAATTGGGGTTTGGCCGTGTCAGGARGTACAGAAATTGCCATCTCATTTTRCTAGGTATGGCTCCAACCAATCYGCCAAACCGGATTCTACAGAAAWTTCCTGCATTAAAGGAAATKGAGCAATCACAGCCTCATCACCTTCCGTGCAGACACCTTTTCCAGCYGCTGATTTGCAGAGCTGAGGACCAGTCAATTTAACCAGTCCTCGGTCTGAAAATCGCTCTGTCCTTCCACGAGGTGATCCACCCGTGGGAACACATCTTGTCATTCTCCACAAAAAGGGGCAGAAACCTCTTCTCAAAGCCTCCAGCTTCCTTCTGCTCAGCTCCATACACGTGGGAGTCGCTTCCAAGGCACATCTGCTGTTGAAAGGAGCCGAGCAACTTGGAGGGAACAAACACTGGCAATCAGCTTTCGACCTGATTTTGTACTGAGTTTTCTGGTGGAAAAAAAGGACATTTGTAGTCTATCAGCACAGCACTGAACCACGTTAAATACGCCTCCATTTATCTTCAATAAGGCCAATACAGTTCCTTATTAGTGGAACAATGGTGTATTTTTGTCACCCTTAATTATTAACTTATCTGGCTCTGCGATTTCTTCGTTTATTAAAAGGATATTCTAGGTGACTTTAACAACTACACAACTCTTACATAACCAACATCTTAAACTCTTTTTTTCCAGCCATTCTTTTCCTTTTTTTTTTTTTTTTTTT